CTCTCTCTCTCTCTCTCTCTCTCTCTCTCTCTCTCTCTCTCTCTCTCTCTCTCTCTCTCTCTCTCCCTCCCTCCCTCCCTCCCTCCCTCCCTCCGTTTCTCTCTCTTTTTCTTTTCTTCTCGATTGACGTCAAAGCAGCTTAATACTTAATGATGTTTAAGCGAACTAGTATCTTCGCACCTTGAAGTTTTAATGAACTACTGAAAGGCGGATTTACTCGACTGATGAATATTTAGGCGGGAACGACGCGGAGATGTTACATCTCGCCGGGCATGCTATAGTCAGGGCACTTTCAGAGCACACGCTTTTACGACGAGGAATTTTGAAACGTTTTACCCCCGCATCGTGGATTTATGGCGAGCTATAGACATCGGGAGCCTTGAAAAAATGGCGCGCTCTTTCCGTTTCCTCTCGTTTTATCGCTAACGGCGGAGGGTCTACTCTGTGCTGCTGTTATACGCCACGTTACATGGTTCAATCAAGAACGGCAATTTGGGGAAGATAAGCTTGGAGACTTTCTACTTCCTTCCCCGTGGAAATTATGCGGAGAAGAAATCGTTTCGCAAATGTATATGATAGAGCCTCCCGATATCCATCGTTAACTCTTGGAACGCTAAAGTGATAGGCACAAAATAACCGCATTCTCGGCACTGTCGAGATATATTATGCGCATGATTTACGAAAATTCTACTCATAACACCAAAAATTCTAACAAATAATGACGATGATGAGCGCAGAAAGCGCCGAGAATTGACAAATCCTTTGTGTCGGATATTAAAAGTTATCATTGGCAATTTTCGCGTTTTATCAGATCGCATTTTATCCGACACTATAACTATTTCCCGGACGCGACGACTGCTCCATTCTTTCCGTCGAGGAGGGTGAGTAGACGTAAATTCTTCTTTTCGGATATAGACAATGGAGGCGCTGGCGAATTCATACATTCGCCCCGGACGGCGATAGTTAAAATATACTAATGCGATTCGGAAAGAATGGAAATGGCCAGTGACTGCGGCGGCGCGGGTGTTATACGTCAAGACCGCGCCGGAATTTCGATGAGTCGCGGGTGGTGCCAGCCAGCTCGTCGCGGAATGGAAATATGGCTGTGAGGAACACCGCCACGATGGTGTATGATCGCAATGGTGGCCGCAAAAAGAGACAAGAGCGAGATCAAGAGAGAACGGTCTCGCGCGTTTACATGGTCATATGTAAGCGCGATTACTTCCGGATGCGTGTGACAGGCTGGCATTTCGGCCGGCGGCATTTGCCCCCCGACGCCTGATCCCGACGTTCTATTTGCATGGGGATGCGTCACCGACGCCGCGGAGAAAACACAAAAAGGAAACAAAAATAAAGATAAAAAAGAACAAGACGAGGGAAAATGCCGCGTAATGATCGTGTCGACAGCGCGCCGCTGCTAACGAGATCGCCAGTTCTGCGAATATCTATGGTACGGTTTCCGCGTTGTTGCTGTTATATGACGCTCGCCCGTTGCCGTATAAAACGAGTCCTGTGGTTGGAAAATTTTCCAGCTCTCGGACATTGTGTTGTTGGCATTGTCCGCATCCTCGTGTTTGCGGTCTATCTCACACAATTCTGTTAAATCATTCTTACTGCGCGCTCGATAAGATGTGCAATTGCCTAATATTTGTAACGCTCGAATTACTCTTAAAATCGATTTTCTTGCGACGTAATTCGACGTTGACTTGAGACGAGGTATCTCGAGAAACATTGGAATTATGGTGGTAGATAATTCGCGATATTAAATATTCTCGTGAAGCTACGTTCAAACACATGGACGATTAAATACAATCATGAAGGGCTTTCACGGCAACCTTTTAAATTCGGGTTACGATCCTCCACTTACCGTGATCCTCTTCGTAGATAATTGCCACTCTGGTCCAGTTTAGAAAGGATATAAGATCTTTGAACGCTTTGTTAAGGTGGTCTTGAGCGGGATATAGGTTAATGCTGAACTCCTTGAAAGTAGGCTCGAAATCGACCCTCGTTTCAAGATGAGGGACATCTAAAGCCTCGCATATACTTTGAATGTGGGCGCCTAGAAGTGGGTCGGACGGCCCGAAGATGCCTTGCACCGATCTGGATAGTTGCTTGCAAGCTGAAATTAAAATTGAACACTTTAAGAAATAACGATATCGGATATTGAAAGAATTGTTTAGTATTATCGTTCTCTTTTGATATAAGTTACGTTCAAATGCAACGGATGTATGACACACTTTAAGTTCAACTGATCTATGTTTAGTTTCAGCTGTTGCCAAGTAAAGATCTATTTGCCAGATCTATTTGAGAATTTGCATTAAAAATTTATTACGTTAAGAACTGTTTTAAAATCGCTCTTAGTTCTTATACATGTTAATTATTAAGCAGGTTAATTCGAGATCTCGAGAGTTTCCCTGATAACTTTCACATACGAACTAAGAATAAATAAACGAGTGCAACGAATATGGGACTGCAAGACGAGCGAGGAAGATGTCAATAGGGGCAGAGGGGTGTGCTAAAACGGAGATTGGAGAGGACGACTGGTTCTGACACACCGATTTCATATTTCTAGATGAAGCATACTCGAAAGTTCTGTATCAGCGGAAGTCGCGGTAAATCGATGACAGACGTTTTTGCGAGATGATCCTAGTTATACGGGATTCTCCTATAATTTTATATAATAGATTACCCTTCGAGAATGGCTCCGGAGTATTTCTGAAAATTTGAAAACAGCTAGATATGGAGCTGCATCGACTTATTGAGCTACTTTTTATCTCGGATGTCGCTGATATAATTGGAATATAGTGCACCGTAAACTGAATTATAAGTCGTGCAGGATAAAATCTATGCGATAAAATCTATGCGCGATAAATCGGAAGTAAAGGAAATATTTTTCTTTAATCAACTTTTTGATCTTCCACGAGTAATTTCTAACATAACTAATTGAGAATTTCTATTCCTTTTCATTATTCTATCAGTTATCCTGTTAATTATAATCGTATTTATTGCACATTTATTCTATATATATATATATATATATATATATATATATATATATGTATATATCAATTTGACATATTTGAGTCCAATTATTAAATCCAATAACCTATAAATTATAGTTTAATTAAAGTTTCAACAACTGAGAGAATACAATAGACAATTTGCCCGTGTTAGAATAATAAATGTGAATTTGATAAATGTCATGTTGATAATGACGCGTAATTGTTCGTTTATTTATTATGAATATTTAAATATGTATACGCCGCGCTGGAAACGCCAACATGAAACCTGGATGCGAGAAGAGAATGGAGCGATGTATTTGTGGTATATTCTCATGCGCGGGGCGATCGATGCGCGACGGGATCGAACAATTTCGTCGGGAAAACAGGACGTCGTATGAGTTAGTCATTCCGTCTAAGCCGTTCTACAGTAGATAGATAGAGAACTGCTCCGCGTTTTTTTAACGTCTCAGTTTTCTTATCCATTATCCTTTGGGAGAAGAAGCCTTTCGGGGAACACGTCGCTACATCTCCCTCGTGGGGAGAATTATACCTGGCATGCTTGCAAAGGCAGGCGGGCCGAACGAAAATGGATAAGTTTGATTTTCGAAGTACTACCGTTACTTCTGAGGTTTCTCTGGTTAGGTTTTATAGCTGTATTCTGAATTATTCACAAGTGTTTTTTCATTTTTTTTCTTTTTTAGCGGACGATCTCCTGCAACCGCGCTCAATTCCACGCACGTTGTGTGTCGTATTAATATTCGCGTCTTCGCGGAACTAACTCTTTTACTTTCACGTTTCCTTGTTTACAAAAGATATTAATTCAAAAATATCTTTAACGAAATAATTTGTGTATTTACATCAGTGTGATCATTGTTAAATTCAAATAAAACTGACAGCTAACGTGTAACGATTTATAATTAACTTGATAAAATAATAATGGTGCAAAATTCCTCTCGCGGCAATAACATTAGACTGTGCGAATAATACGGATGAAGAAGGATCTCCCCTTCTGAAGAAATCGGTAACTCTCTTTCCCAGAATCTTTAAAATAATTTTCCAATTTCCATAAGTCGCTGTCCGAAGGTTGGGTTTAACGTAGCGTTGGTAGGATGCGTAGCATGCGTAGGATAGGTCCCAATGTGGCCCTACTGGTCCAAGTTATGTATCTTATAAAGTACTGTTACCAAGAGCACACTTTGAGAGAACGTTTTTCTGTCCCCTCAATAATTTTCTCAAGAACTTTATAATAATTTTTGAGTCTTCTAACTTAATCCGATAATGAAATACTTGGGGAAAGCGAACCGGCGATTTTGATTGACAATTCAATTGACATTATTTACTTTTTACGTAGAGAAAAGATGCACTCTACAGCGTTGACGTTGTTCAGACACGTTTTTAACAGTTGCTCTTATTGTTCCACTAATACGTTTCCGCTACATTTACCATGTATCATCCCGAAAAACATAAATGTCGCGAATTTCACAGAATTCGCTGAGCTTGGATATAAGACGCTCTTCGCCCATTCCGATAATAAAGGATATTACTGGCCGCGCGCTCGCTCAGACCGTGTCGCTATTTCGTGCTGAAACGCTCGTTCACGCGATACGCCCGATTAAATTACCAGGATGGTTTGCAAAAAGACGTCGGTAAACACACACGTACACATACATATCGCCAAATAACACAACGCGACACTTCGTCGACGCACGTTTCGTTGTCGGCAGCGAAATTTCCCGTCGCTGCTCCGTCGTTGATTAAGTCGAACGCTCCGCTCGATGAGAGTAAATAAGAATCGTTACCTCGTTACGATATCGCAGTTTCGTTTAACGAACCGGCATTTATCCGTTTTGCGGTAATGAGTGCGACAGTTTCCGCACAAAGAATCGCGCCGGTGCGCTTTATCGTGACTTTTATGAGCTCGATATAATGTACCGTGCGATCAGCTGCAATTTCATAAATTATCGCAATTAACGCAAATATCGTAAGTAACGATATCGCTGGTGTACGTCTGCTGGCGATCTCGCAAATATTCTTTCTCCTAATTGCTCCAGACGCCTCGATAAATCGATAACGACTTTGAATGATTAGCTTCATTGCTGACGGAGGAAAGCATTTTTGTGCACTATCAATTATTTAAAGTAGAGAATATAGATTTTTCAAAGCAGTAAATAGGGAAAAGAAAATATTGTGTTAAAATATTACTAAGATATTGGTAAAAATCATTTTACTTGTTATTATTGCGTTAAAATTCGCAATTGTCACTTCATAGATAATCCATTGTTATCGTGACATCCGGAGAGAGATAAATTAACGATTAACAATTTGATCCTTGATTTAAAAACTCGGTTCATGAACTAAGTTTATAGCGAAACTTTTTTGTTAGTAATTAATTACTAATTCGATTTTTTTCGTCATATATAAAACTTTTTGATACAAGCGCTTAGTAATCGCTATACCTTCAGCGTGATTATCGCTTTAACACAAATAAGGGGCGGTCCGCAAAACGGCGGCCGCGTTTCTGTCCAGTCGGATTCATCGTTAAAAGTTATGCAAACAACTTTGCTCGCATGCTCGCGAAACTGCTCCGCGCAGATATGGTAGTTTGAGTTATCAGCGAATTAAGCTCGCTGGCAATGACGAGCTGTAAATCTCTTTAAAACGCCGTCCCGAAGTCGTTAGGAGGAACGAGGGATGGCCTTGAGAGTAAGGGGGGCAGACGGGATGGAGTTGTCTATTAGGATTATGAGCACATTCCGCGAGTGGAGTGTCTCCGGAAATCCTGAAAAATAAAATCCGGCGAAATAATCGCTTCGTCATTTGGTTAGCTGCACGCCATTTCTGGCCGTAGCCCTCGTAAACGGAGCCTTCCATTAAAGTGTTCCGCCTCGGTGGCCCGGGCCGCTCCTTAAAGTTATCCAATCAATTTCCCTGGTTTAGTTCTCTTCCGATTTCTATCTTCCTTTGTTTTCTACTTTCGCGGTGACTCAAGCAAAACTACACCTACGGCGCAACTCTTGAAACGAAATTTCCGCGAGAGAAGTCTCCTCTCCATAACGTCCGACACGCAACGATATTTTTTGGCGTGACGGAAAATTAATAAAGGGCCGCGCGCTTCCTATCGCGGAGCAACTTTCTTTCTCCCTTACAACGCGGAAACTTGAAACGAAATTTGTGCGGGTGTGTTCGCGAGACGTTGAAGAAAAGAAAACTCTTGCCGTCATTGCAAGGTGTATGAATCTCCACTTTAAAATTTTCAAGTTTATTAACCGGCCTTGACGATGTGTTAGCTTTACGCATTTTAACAAATTTAACATCGGATATATTGAAAATAAATATCAAAACACGATATCTGTGGTCTGTCGATATATAATATCACAATATATATATATATATATATATATATATATATAAAATAAAATGTGAAAATAACTACGGATATATATATATATATATTATATATATATATATATATATATATATATATATATACACATATACATATATACACACACACGAATACACATACACACGTGTGCACACACACACACACATATGTATTTATTTTCACAGTTTAAAATATATTTAACTCTATTGAAAAATTATTGAAAAAATTAGTGTATTTTTGTTCTTATTTCTTTACGGAATATAGCGGCAACGTTTTGTCTTTACTGCAGTTGCCTTGACAATCGATTAACTCTCACATGCTTCGCTCTTGCGCCAGTAATATGTCGCAGTGTCTGGTAATCCTTACTAGACGCACTCAGAAATTCATAGAGGATTTTCTTGAGTCGAGTGTTTCGCAGCGAATTCAATTTCCCACCAAGGCTTTGTTTCGTTCGTCGTACTGGAGAGAGCTGACGTAACAGTGTGGGAAATAAAGAATTCTACGTATAAGTAACAATTTTCTAAAGAATAAACTTACAGGACGAACTCTCGTGTTCTTTGAAAGCTTTTACAAAATGCAATTTCGCTATATTTAATGAAAACTCTCTCTCTCTCT